CCGTTTTATGGTCGACCGGTTGGTCAACCGGTTTGTCACCCCCAACGGTAACAAACAGTGATTTGGTGAAACCTGGAGCGTGTTCTCATTTTGGTGAAAGGTTTGCTGAATTCTCGATTTGATATCGATTTGGTGAAACTGTTAGAGCACCAAAAAGTCACTTTTTCACTAAATTTCAAATTTGATGCCAGGTTTGGTGAAGCGTTGTAGGTGGTCTAATTCAATATAGATACTTCATCAAATTTCAAATTTGATGAAAAGAATCAAAGGAGGCGCTCTAACCCTTTTACCAAAATCATATCAAATAAAGGCAAAACCAAAGCTTTCATCCAATGAAATAAACCTTTCATCTTTTATTAAATTTAAATTTACCGTTAAGCCGCTCCCGGATGTCCATCAAGAGCAATTTTGACAATTTTTTTATTCATGTCCAGACAACCTTCAGGACATCTCCCCGGACGTCCTCCTAAAAAAAGACTTTATTCCTTCTGCGTCTTGACTTAATTTTTCAGTTTGGAAATTTTTAAAAATTTGTCCTATTTTTTAATAAAAATTAAGGGTCATCTAAGTTACACAAAATAAAAAATATGTATGTACTTAATTTTTTAAAAGTTTATCAAAGACGAAAATTAGCCACCAAAAAAAAAAATTTGTCTTCCCAAATGTAAGTTACAAAAAAAGTTTTTCAAAAAATAAAAACGTTACCAAGCAATATGACCAATTTTAACCATTAGAAAAACAAAAAATTGAAATTTGCAATAATTTACCCAATATAGTGTTTTATAACTTTAAGGTTTCAAACTACAAAATTTTTAAAAAGGGGCTGGCTTCCTTCCAACCCGTGATCAGACTGGAAGGTATTGTTGGGCTCGTAAAGGTTTGCCACGGGTCCCGTTTCGATAATCTGAACCGTTCAATGTGTAAAACTCGGTGAGTACTATATGCTTAATAAACATCACGTTGATCGGATATTGATTAGTTACGTGATCAAATCAGCTTTGTATAAAAAAAAATAGATGGTGAAAAAATAAACAGTTGACAGAAATTTGATCTAATGAGATAGTTATTGATATCCAATCAACGTGATTTTTTTCAGACATATAATACTCGACGAATTTTACATATTGAACGGTTCGAATTATTGAAACAAAACTCGTGATGGGCCCCTATAGACCTAACAATACCCTCCAGTCCAATCATGGACCGGAGGGAAGCTAACCCATTTAAACCTTAAATATTTAAAACTTAAAATTTTCATAATAGATATCCTTAAAATCAATTACAAACTTACCAATAAAATTCAAAAAGAAATATCTTATACTATTAATTTGTTCTTTTTAAATTCTTAAACTCTAGGAAAATTTACTCATAAATCACATATATATTTTTAATATAATAATTTTCAAATTTTATTTAATTGTAATCATTTAAATAATTTTTTTAATTTCTAAATAGAATGAACATATTTCATAAAATTGTTGGTACTTTTTCATTTTATTTCAGCAAATTACACATATCACTTATGTATTTAAAGGGAAAAATCATTGATTTTTTAGATGGGGAAAGAGAAATATTAAACTAAATTATTGATTATTAGATTTCCAAAAACAAAATTTAAAAACATATATTGATTAACGACTAAATTTGTTTGGGTGGAGACAAGACAAATTAATATACAATTTCCTAAATTTACATTTAACTATTTTATATATGAGTGGGAAAAAAAAGAAAAAAGAAAAAAGAAAAAAAAAGTGAGTGTAAATAGTATATATCTTATTTAAACAAAATATATCTATATAATAAAGCAGGATGGTTTTTGAATTTGTCCTACACACATTTCTCATACTAGGACATTTGAACGGCTCACATCTATTCAATTTATAAAATAATGGCTGAGATATATTTTTCAAAAAATATTCTACATGTACATTTTCTATTTTTCCTCTTCTCTCTCTTACTTTTTTCTTTTCTCACCCATCCTTCTATGATCTCATGATCCCACCTTCTTCTCTCTTTTCTTTTTATTTTTTTATTTTCTCCCATTTTTATTTTTCCCTCTATTTGTTTTTTTTTATTTTCTCTTTTTTGTTCACTTATTTTTTATTCATATTATATGGAAAAGTCTGCAATCTCAGAATTAAAAGTCAGATTTTAGTATGTAGTGGAGATTAAATTAATGAATTTTATAGCCCACAAATTAAATGAATTTGAACAATTAATTATTATTTTTAAATATATTGAATACATGATAAACTTCATAAATTTAAATCTCATATGAATCTTCAACATCTATATAATAAAGTAAGATGGTTTTTGAATTTGTCTTATACACATTTGTCCTACTAGGACATTTGAACGGCTCACACTATTCAATTTATAAAACAACGGCTGAGATATATTTTTCAAAAAATATTCTACATGTACATTTTCTATTTTCTCACTTCTCTCTCTTACTTTTTCATTTTCTCACTCATCCTTCTATGATCTCATGATCCTACCTTCCTCTCTTTTCTTTTTATTTTTTTATTTTCTCCCATTTTTATTTTTCTCTCTATTTGTTTTTTATTTTTTATTTTCTCTCTTTTGTTCACTTATTTTTTATTCATATTATATGGAAAAGTCTGTAATCCCAGAATTAAGAGCCAAATTTTACTGTGTGCAGTGGAAATTATATTAATGAATTTTATAGTCCACAAATTAAATGAATTTGAACAATTAATTATTATTTTTAAATATATTGAATATATGATAGACTTTATAAATTTAAATCTCATATAAATTTTCAACATATTTTAATAAAAGCATGTCGGTTTTTTAATCTTCAACATATTTTTGTCCTACTAGGACATTTGGATGGCTCAGATCTGTTTAAATTATAAAACAACGGCTAAGATATATTTTCCAAAAAATGTTCTACATGTACATTTTCTATTTTTCCGCTTCTCTCTCTTACTTTTTCTTTTTCTCACACATCCTTCCATGATCCCATGATCCCACCTTCCCCCCTCTTTTCATTTTATTTTTTTATTTTCTCCCATTTTTTTTCCTTTCTATTCGTTTATTTTTCTATTTTCTCATTTTTGTTCAATATATTTTGCACATATTTCCATACAATGTATGCATGCTCGTAATATACTAGATCATTACAGGTATACATACAATTTTCATATAATTATATAAGCAAAAGCATTATTATATGTATACCCGTGAAAATTGTATGTATGTTAGGTACATCTATCTATCTAGCTATATATTGTATAAGCAAAATAGAGTTTTCGTGAGGAGTTTTATGAAAACTCCAAAATTTTATAATGAATTTGTGAATTTATCAAATTAAAAAATAAATTTAAATAATATTGGGATTACAGTTATATTCTAATCCTAACATTATTTATATCGTGCCTTCAGGCACGGACATACGCTAGTATATATATATATGCTTGTATTTTTTTAATACGAATGTAATAAAATTGAACAGTTACATTTTTTTTTTCCCCATAGATATACATAACATTAAAAATGAACAAAGGAATTATCAAAATAAATCATAGGGTAAGCTCAAAAAAATCTAACACTACAGGATATTCTTCCCACGGTTGGGGAGAAGTTGGACCCAAATATATTAATACGATTGTAACATTTTGCCTAGTTAAATATCTATTGAATTTTTTTTACATAATCAGTTTGATTTTAATATTTAATTTTTTTGCCAAAATGATATATAGAAACATAGAGCACATTTGGTATGATTGAATGAGTTAGAATAGAATACACATTCTAACTTTGCATTTTTTTTTCTTTATTTGGTATGCCTTATTTAAGTAGGAATAGTCATTCCAATAACAAAAAGTGAGAATGCATATTCCTTCCTCCAACTTAAAGGAATGGCGATTCCATTCCATCATGGAACTAGCATATCACTCGTGCTATGCACGGGTTAAAATAATATATTATTTAATAAAAATATGGTAATTATATTTAATTTTTTTATATTTTATAAAATAAAAGTTAAATGGAAGCTAGTCAATCGGGACTTGCTTAATTGTTTAAAATTAAGAAAATCAAAAAAATTAGTAAAAATCTCATTTTGCTTATATAAATGGGAGTATAATAATCACTTTATGTAAGTGAAACAATTCACTTTTTTTCTTCTTTTCTCGATGTGGGATTATAAAATAAAATTTAAATAAAAGCCAGCCAATGAAGATTTTCTTAATTGTTTAAAAGTTAACAATTGTTTAGGCAGGAAGTTTATTTCGAATCTAGCAATCTTAGCCGTTCAATCTTTAATTAGGTCAATCTTTAATTTATTTCGAATCAAACAAAAACCACTAAAATCGTAGTTAAACCAACGAATCAATCAAATCGAAAACAGTTCACCCTATCGGTTAAGTCAAAAGACCAACCAACTTATATAAAAATTAATTAATTAAAATTGTAAAATTTAAACTATCTTGAACTGAAACATACACAATACTATAATATTAAATAGGAGCAACAACTTATTTTTTCTTCCTTTTCCTGATGTAAGATTATAAAATAAAAGTTAGCAGTTGTTTAGACGGAAAATTCATTTTTAATCAAGCAATATCAGTCGTTCAATTTTTAATAAGGTCAATCGTAGTTTATTTTAAATCAAACAAATCTAAGCAATATATTTTGATAAAACAACTAAAACTGTGGTTAAACCAATAAATCAGTCAAACCGAAAACGATTCAGCCTAATCGGCTAAGTCAAAGGACTAACGAATTTACAACAAAATTAATTAATTAAAATTTTTAAATTTTCTTTTAAAATTTAAACCATTTTGAACTGAAACATACACAATCTATGTAATAAGACAGAACAGTTTTTGAAAACATATAAAATGTATCAGAGATACATTTCATTTGAATGATCTAGATCAATCCTAATCAATATCTAATGGTTGAGATCAATTTTCTTCCCACCCAAACACTCTCTCTCTCCCTCTCCCACCTGCCCACGTCTCCTCCTCATTCCCTCTTTATCTCTCTCCCTATCTGTTCTTCTTCTTTCATGCCCTCCCTCTTGCGTTCACTCCCGACGCCAGCCTCGATTTCTACCTCTACCCCCTTCTCTCTCAGTGGCTTCAAGTCGCAACCCTCCCACTCGCAATGTAGGGTTTTCGATTGTGAATCACGAAACTATGCTTCGATTGGGTCACCGAAGGCTAAGGTTTCCACCACCACAGCCACCGTTATCATCATCAACTTCCTCGAATTCTACATTGACGTCACCGCCTTCTCTTGCTCTCTCTGCTTCGAACCCCCATGGGAGCTCTCTGGTACCTCTCTCCTTCTCTCTCTCTCTTTCTCTCTATGCTTCAAGTAAATCGATGTTTGTTGGTAGAATTGAGGTAATGGTTTAAATCGATGTTTTTGTTTATCATCGTTTCTGTTTCCGGTTTATTGTTTGGTGGTTGCCTATTTTGTGGTTCATGGTTTATTGTTGGTAGTTGCCTAATTAGAACTATGGCAGAAATTATTGTTTTTTTTTTTTTTTTAAATTTCTCAAATGATATTTTTATTGTGTGCAAAGGATTTGAAGAGAACAATGACAATAATCAACACGGATTGTTTCTTTTTTGATTATTTGTTTTTATTGATTGATTAATAACATATTTTGTATAATAGTTAGTATAGAGTATGTGTGTGTTCAAATTGTGAGATGGATTTTTATATTTGGTTAAACATTCTGGAGAGTAATTCAGTAATTGAGGGAATTACTGACTTCTTTCAAGTAGCAATGGGTTTAGTTATGAGTTTTTGAATTCTGCTTCTCTTTGTTCTTTTTCTTTTTTTGTCCTTTTCATTTTGAAGCTCTTGCAGGTTTGATGATCTTCACAATCTTCTCTTTGTTCTTTTTTTTTTTTTTTTTTTTGAGTCTTTTGGCTGTGGTCAGTTGTAGGCTTTTTTTTTTTTTTGTGAATGTTTTTATTGTGTGCAGAGGGTTTATAAGCAAATAATCAAGAACATAGTTTATAAGAAAAAAACCATGTGAACACAGTCCATAACTTCTCTGGAATACTTTTTCTTTCTTTCTTTTTTTCTTTTTTTATTTATTTATAGTTTTATAGTTTTATAGTTTCTTTCTTTCTTTCTTTCTACACTATTGTGAAGAATCAAAGAACTGATCCTGTAAACCCTAACAAGAACAGAGAATTTTTTATCATCGAAGCATTTTTAGGTAATTGTGGGAAGGGGTTTCATTTCTTCGACATTTTAGCCTTAGGGGACATACATCGTTCTCTCTCTCTCTCTCTCTCTCTCTCTCTCTCTCTCTCTCTATTCAAGTGTAAGTAATTTCCTTATTGTTTCTTAGTATTCAATTAATTATTTGTACTAAACATGCGTGATGATATGTATAGTTGCCTAACTCTAAAGGGGTCAGATTTTCTTGATTTTCTATGTCTGTTTTCGAATTTCCAAATTCGAACCCCAATGGTTTCAAGACCCATCGTTCATGGTATTTGAATCTGTCTCTCCCCTTCTCTCTCTGTGTCTATTTTTGAATTTGGGTTCAAGGTATTTATATCTGCCTCTCCCTTTATCTCTGTGTCTGTTTTTTAATTTGGCTTCAAGGTTATGTTTTACATTGTCTCTTTATCTCTCTCCCTGTGTTTGTTATTGAATTCGGGTTCAAGGCATTTTATTTGAATTCCATTCTCTCTGTTTACTCTCTCTATTTGTGAGTATAGACCACCATCTACTACTGACATCCAACAAATGATATGATCTCTCTCTGTCTCTCTCTTATTTTGGTTTCTATGGGTATCTATGAAAAGCCATTATTGTTGTATTTTTCTTATCAAAATTAGACCAAATTGAAACTGTATTTGTGTTCGTGTTGGAAAAATTAAACATGTTTGTATATGTGGGTTTTAAAATATGTAGCAAATGCAGTTGAGTATCTCTCTCTTATTTTGGTTTCTATGGGTATCTATGAAAAACCATGAAATTATTGTTGTATTTTTCTTATCAAAATCAGACCAAATTGAAACTATATTTGTATTTGTGGGTTTTAAAATCTGTTGGAGATGCAGTTGAGTATCTTCATTTCGATAGAAGTGTCGGCAAGGTATGGATTTTTTTTTAAAGGTCTTAACATGCCTATTTCTTTGCATATTTTCTTTTATGCATTGGTGAAAATCTTCTGACCCAAAAAAATCTTACAGGTGGTTGTTTGCATTGACCTGACTTTCAACCAACAAGTGGCAAAGTATAGAGTATGTGTGTGTTCAAATTGTGAGATGGGTTTTTATATTTGATTAAACAACACTGGTTATAGTTGATCTCAAGCATTGGCCATTTGCTGAGGTAATTTTTCTTTATTGATTGTAATTTATCTATATAGATTTGGTTAAACATCAAACACATTCCCTTACAGTAGATGATTAGAAAACTGGTAGTTGATTGTAATTTATCTATATAGATTTGGTTTAATGATCAGAAAACTGGTAGTGTAGTATGCTTAATACATATATGGTTGAAGATCATCTAGCATGCTTAATACATCATTGAGGGTTATTCTTTTTTACTTTTTAATCTGAATGTTATTCTCTGTTCCTTTTTTTCATTACCAAGATGAGTTTAATTTGGTTGTTAATTTAGATTTTTTTTTTCCATATTTGTTGGTGCGCTTTTTTTATTTTTATTTTTTTGAAGTACATTAGTTAATGATAGGGCTTTTTTTCTTTTTCTTTTTTTTTTTTTCCTTTGATTTGATGTCCAAGTCTGAATTTAGGACTAATTTGTTCTATTTTTTTTTTTTATATTAATACTAATACAATTTGTTATTGAAGTGATGAACATGAGCATGAAGAGAAGCCTATGGATCACCACTACAGGTGGTGATGGTGTAGTTGGTGGTGGTGGTGGTGGTTTGTTGGTGAAGAAGAGAGGGAGGCCAAGAACGTAGGACTCAGATGGTAACTTGAGACTACCATTTATATCATCGCCACCGCCAAGTTTTTCTTTCTCACCTCCTTTTTCTGAGTTCTCTTCTTCCAAAAAGGGTTATGGCAGACCACCTAGTTCTGGTAACTGCCAGCTGCTTGCTTCTTTAGGTAAGTTCAAATCAAGCCTTTAAATCAACATTTTCCCTTGAGATTGATAATTTAGTTGTGTACAACCTTTTCCCTTGCTGCAATTCAAGACTGACTCCATCAAACACATTGAAAACAGGAGGTATGGTTTAACTTGATTTTTATTTTTTTTGAAGTACATTAGTTAGTGTGATTTGTAGGTTGTGGATGAACTTTTAACGAGGTGGAAAGAGACTGCATGGTGAGCTTTTTGATAAGTGTATAGGTAGTGTTATTGCATATGGTTAAATTGGAATGTAAGTGTTTATTCATTCTCTTCATGGGTTTTAGGTTCATTGAAAGAGATTTTGATGCGTATGTGGAAAGAATTTGACAACCTTATGTATGGGGTGGCATCCCATGTTCTCAAGTGAGTTCTATTCACTATTTCAGTGAAGCATTTATGTTGTCAGTATGAAGCAATTTATGTGCAAAAAACAATATCATAGTGTTCATCAACGTGTTTTTGCATATTGGCTCATATACAATGATATTTGTCTATTTATTAGTTTGATGGAAGGGTTTGTTTGCCTCATCAAAGTGTTTTTATATTAAATTGATAATCTATATAATAAGACAGAAGGGTTGGGATTACAATTATATTCTAATCACAATATTATTTACATCACTGCTCTCGAACTCGGCTCGCAAGGTAAGTTTTTTTTTTTTTTTTTTTCTCATTTTTTTTTTTCTCACTTCAAATAGGTTATTTAAGGGTTTTGTTGGCTGGTTCTGTTTTTCAGCATTGTTTGGTGGCTGTGTCTGTTCCTCTCTGTTTTTCAAATAGGTTGTTTTTTAGCATTATTTGGTGGCGGAAATTGTAGATAAATTGTGAAATTGGGCATCGCAGTTTCTTCCTCTCTATTTTTTTTTTTTTGTATGTTCTTTGTGGCTTTAGTTCTTTAGTTTTTTTCTTCCAGATTTGGTTCTATCTATTAGAATTTTTTTGGTGATTATTAGGTTGAATTAGGGTGGGTAAATAGGGTCGGCTTAGATCTGGTGCGATTTGTAATGGACAATTATGATTTTGATTTGAAGTGGTTATGATGAATTGTTTATTTTGATATTAGTTTGTATGGTGAATACATTTTTTGGTCAACTGGTTGAATTAGGGTGGGTTGAAATTAAAAATCTAGATGTTTGATAGATTGGGGTAAATAGTAGGCTGGTTCTGTTTTGATTAAATAGGATGATCTTTTTTTTTTTCTTTCTCTAACTTTTGGCTGTGTCTGCTCAAACCCCAAAACACAGGTACTTCAGTTCTTCAGTTTTTTACTTCCTGAGTGATTTTTTAGCACTAGGTTAGTTAATTTTGTGGTAATGATTATCAAGTAAGCTCTGGTTATTTGTGAATATTAATGCTGCTTGTGAAATTGAATGTTTAATTTTCTGTTTTGGGGACATCATAGCTGAGGCAATGTCATAGATCAGATTATTTATTCTCATCAAAGTTCAGATTACCTAATTTCCCTTAGACTTTTGTTTCCCATTGTCACAGGTTTTGGTTCTCTTGGTTTGATGACAGCAGTGCTGGTATATCTGTTGTGTTAATTTTTGTGTTTGGTAATTTAATTTCTCTTTCTCTCCCTTTCTCTATCTCTATTTGTTTTTGGCTCTCATTTCTAGAATAGTTATGTTCACATTTTCTGCAAAAAAAGAAAAAAAAAATGAAGAGTAATTGAGTAATTGAAGTAATTGAGTAAAAAAAAAAAAAGAATAATTGAGTAATTGAAGTTTGCATGTTTACATTTTCTGCAATAGCTATGTTTTGATGATATGGTTCCTTATACTCTTAAGAGTGAATGGGCATGTAAGAATAATGATGGAGATGTTCAGAGTGATTTTTTAGCACAAGGTTAGTTAATTTTGTGGTAATGATTATCAAGTAAGCTCTGGTTATTTGTGAATATTAATGCTGCTTGTGGAATTGAATGTTTAATTTTCTGTTCTAGGAACATCATAGCTGAGGCAATGTCATAGATCAGATTATTTATTCTCATCAAAGTTCAGATTACCTAATTTCCATCAGACTTTTGTTTCCCATTGACACAGGTTTTGGTTCTCTTGGTTTGATGACATTAGTGCTGGTATATCTGTTATGTCAATTTTTGTGTTTCTCTTCAAATGCGTTCTTTTATGTGCTTCCTCATTGAGTGTTTAAGGATATGGATGGGCTCCAGGTGTGCCCAGATGGAAAGACCATTGAAGCCGAGCCAGCCCATGGCATAGTCATCCGCCATTATAGGGTTCATCAGAAGGGAGGTGAAACTAGCACAAATAGCATAGCATCTATTTTTTCTTGGTCAAGAGGACTTGCGCACAGGTGTGAGATTGTTATTGCTTGGTTTTAAGTGCTACTGCTAGTTTATGCTATTCTAGATCCTCCTAGACTTAAATTTAGTTTGCCTTGCAACCTTGGATTGAAAATATCCATGTTGATCTTAAACTGTTGGATTTTACTCAAAAATTGGAAGCAACTTGTGTTGAATCGGGAAAAATGGCAAAGGATCTTGCACTTATAATCAATGGATCCCAGTAAGTAGTGTCAAAAAGGTATTTTTTGGATGATTTACTTTCGGTGCATTGTTTGGTTGCTGAGAATTTAAAGAAAAATAAGGGAAAAACAATTTGGGTTTTGGGTGACAGTATGAAGAAATTTGATCACCGAAGTTGGATTTTGTATTCTCAACATTTTGTTAGTAGCTGACCATATTTTAACTCAATACTACATATGTTAGTTTATTTTTTTTAGTATCTTTATCAAAAAATGACACAAGTTTCATAAATTTTAATATGATACGTATAAATTACAATTACATCTTGATCCTAACATTAATTGCACTGTGCCTTTAGGCACGGGCATTCACTAGTACTATAATATTAAATGAGAATATAAGATTCACTTTATATAAGTGAAACAACTCACTTTTCTTTTCTCGATGTGGGATTGTAATTATTTTAAAGTTAAATATTATGAGAGTTTCAAAATCTCATACAAGATTATTTTTAAAATCAAAACGTCTATGTGGGATTGTAAAATAAAAGTTAAATGGAAACTAATCAATGGAGATTTTCTTAATTATTTAAATTTAAGAAAAAAAAATGGTATTGATTATAGGACTTTTCACTAAAAATCTTCTTTTGCTCATATAAGTGAAACAATTCATTTTTTTCTTCTTTTCCCGATGTGGATTGTAAAATAAAAATTAAATGGAAGCTAACAAATGTAGATTTTCTTAATTGTTTAAAATTAAGAAATTTCAATAATTCATATAAATTGGAGCATAAGATTCACTTTATGTAAATGAAACGATTCACTTTTTCCTTTTGTTTTCGCGATTTGGGATTGTAAAATAAAAATTAAATGAAAGCTAGTCAATGAGAATTTTCTTAATTGTTTAAAATTAAGAAAATTCAATAATTTTAGAATGAATGTTTGGAGCTTCTAGAAGACTTTTCCTTTAAAACTTCTTTTATAAGATTCATTTTATATAAGTGAAACAACTCACTTTTCTATCTTTTCCCGATGTAGGATTATAACATTTTATATAAGTGAAACAACTGACTTTTTCTTTCTTTTCTCAGTGTGGGATTGTAATTATTTTTAAATTAAATATTATGAGAGTTTCAAAATCTCATACAAAATTATTTTTTAAAATCAAAATTATGTGAGATTGTAAAATAAAAGTTAAATGGAAGTTAACCAATGGATAAAAATCTCCTTTTGCTTATCACTTATGAGTATGAGAATAAAAAAAAAAAAAATCTCTTTTTGCTTATCACTTATGAGTAAGAAAGTAAAAAAGAAATATAACATATTGATTATAGGGTTTCTCACTAAAAATCTCATTTTGCTTATATAAATGAGAGCATAAGATTCACTTTATGTAAGTGAAATAATTCACTTTTTCTCTCTTTTTTCGATGTGAGATTGTAAAATAAAAAGTACATGGAAGCTAGTCAACAGAAATTTTCTTAATTGTTTAAAATTAATAAAATTCAATAATTTTATATTAAGAGTTTGGAGCTCCTACAAGGCTTCTCTCTAAAATCTCATTTTCCTTATATAATATATAGATAAATAGTGAAACAAACTTTCTTTCTTTTTTTTTTTTCTTCTCCCGATGTGGGATTATAAAATAAACCATAAACTAATTAGAGTTTTATTTTATATGGTTAAATGAAAGTTAGCCTAATAAAATCAATATGAGAAATCGCGATTAAACCGGCGAATCAGTCAAGCCCAAAATGGTTCAGCCTAATCGGTTAAGTCAAATGACCAACTAACCTATACAAAAATTAATTAATTAAAACTTTTAAATGTGAAAATGTCTTGAATTGAAGTATACACAATACTACACTATTAAGATTCACTTTATATAAGTGAAACAACTCACTTTTTTCTTTCTTTTTCCTTTTCTGATGTGAGATTATGAAATAAAAGTTAACAATTATTTGAACGGAAAGTTTGTTTTTAATCAAGCAATCTCAGTTTTTCAATTTTTAATCAGATCAATCTTTAGTTTATTTCGAATCAAACAAATCTAATCAATATATTTTGATAAAACTGCTAAAATCGCAATTAAACCAACAAATTAATCAAATCCAAAATGATTTAGCCTAATCAGTTAGGTCATAATTAATTAATTAAAACTTTTAAAATCTAAACTATATTGATTTGAAACATGCACAACACTACAATATTAAATGGGATGAGACTATAAAATTAATTTTATATAAGTATAATAACTCATTTTTTTCCCTTCTTTTCTTGATGTGGGATTATCAAATAAAAGTTAGCCAATGGAGATTTTCTTAATTGTTTAAAATTAAGAAAATCAATAAAATTAGTATGAGATATTGTAACTAAATGGGATAGGAGTATAAGATTCCCTTTATGAGTAAAACAATTCATTTTTTTTCTTCTTTTTCCGATGTGGGATAATCAAATAAAAGCAAGCCAATGGAGATTTTCTTAATTGTTTAAAATTAATAAAATCAATAAAATTAGTATGAGATATTGAAACTCTCGCAAGGCTCTTCACTAAATGGGATGAGAGTATAAGATTCCTTTCATATGAGTAAAACAACTCATTTTTTTTCTTATTTTTCTGATGTGAGATTATCAAATAAAAGTTAACCAATGAAGATTTTTTTTAATTATTTAAAATTAAATAAATTAAGAAAATTAGGATGAGACTTTGGAGCTCTTACAAGCCTTCTCACTAGAAAGTCCCTTTTTCTTTATATAATAAATGTTTTATTTAAGTGAAAACAGTCATTCTATTAGAATAGCTATTTTAACAAAATGTAAAAATACATATTCCTTCCTCTAACCTAAGGAATGGACATTCTATTCCATCATGAAATTATCATAAAATTTTATTATTAATTTTTTTTGTTGACACTTAAAAAAAATATTATTATTTAACTACTATCACCATTCTGTTCTCTTACCACTCTATTGCCGTCACAACTACCACACCACCATACTACCACCACCGTACTATCAATATCACCACTACTACCACCAATGCTACCTTCACCACGGTCGCCGCCACAACCACCACACCACCATACTACTACCAATATCGTACTATCGATGTCACCACTACTACCACCAACACTACCTTTGACCGTCGCAATT